GGTTTTTCATTAGTGTTTCTGGTACTGTCCGTGATCTAACTTCACATAACATTTGGTTGATCTTATTTTTTGTCGAAGTGATGTATGTTTTTGTGTGTGTTCTAACTTTTTCAATTCTAGTACGGGTTGCCAGTGGTTAGAAGGTATGCGCGTATGAGCACACGTTTTGAATTAACTGATTATTTATTATCAACTGTCTAGTCGGTGGTTGGGTTTTGCGCACCAGCATCCACTAGTTTGGTTGAGGTTTGAGTTACGTCCACTTTCCTCACTAGCTTCTTGAATTTTTTCTAGAAGATGTTGTGCACGACAGTGTCTAATATTGTTTATTGCTTCTCCATTCACCTTGATGCCTTCGCTACTTTCGCTTAGTGTTTTTGTCATAATTTGCTGCTCCGAATAGATGTTGAAGAGTAGGTATAAGATAGTTTTGACTAATCAAATTCGATCAAAATGCCTTAAATAACACTCTGCAATTGTAGAGTATTCTCTATCATTATTTAATAATAATTTGTATTTTATAATAAATTATTATGCTTTTGTGATGTCCAATTTACCTTCAAGGAATACCCGAATACGGTACTTAGCGATTCGGGGAAACCCAATAAAAATGTCCAATCCATTTAAATCTCGCAGCGACGCGACGACGACGTAACGCACCATATAAATAAATAAATTGACTGACAAAACAAAGACCGGTCAATTCCATAACGCTAGTATGAGATACTAGATGAACTGCCAATGTTGAACTTCGCTGTCTGGTTGCACTAAAGGTTTGGTACAATTCTGATGTCTTTGTAGTCTATGTTCACATTTTGAAGTATTTCTATTAGTTGGTTGATCTTAAAAAGCTACCATCCAGCCAGCAGCGCAATTGTATTTGTCTAACCTTACAACACTCGCATGAATTGCTTCAAATAGAACACTAAAATGAGATATTTTAAACTTCCATTCCATATATTTTTTGCTTCTATAACGTTTCACAACTCTCCAAGTATTTCTCTTCGTCTTCTGGTCAATATTAAATAAGTAACTAGTATAAGTGAGTCTATGACCGTCAAACAAATCAACAGAGCACTAAAATTATGTAAGATTCTCCGATGGAATTCCACTGGAATTCTTCATGGAATTCCTCCGTAGAGTTCCCCCATAGAATTCTTCGAAATGTACAGGATGGCCCTTATTTCGACACCTACGAGGGTTACAAAAAACATTTAAATACAAAAGTTGTTTCCTGACCTTTATTTTACATTTTATTGCATTTTTGGAGAGTCCTTTCAAAGAAAAATTCAACGTATATATGAGTATGGGTCTGGGATGCACCGTTTCGAACTTATTAGCGATCATCTTCAGAATTCGGGTTATGTAAAAAATTTAAGCTGTGCGGTAAAATCTCCGAACACATCCGATGGCTCAAAATCCATACGGAAATATGCCGCAAATGCCCGAAGTGACTCAGTGGGACAAGAAACTCATCTGGTAAAGTGACGCTTCCCGCACGCTAGATCAGTGTATAATTACGTATTTTACATAAGGGAGTAGAAGAAATATTTTAAGCGTATTTTTTCGGACTTCCACTATTTTTTTTTATTAAGTTGCATTTTTGTTGAGGCTATTTTTTTTGGTGCTGTTATAGTGTGTCTGTGATTTTTTTGATATACGAAAAACTCTTCTGTTTAGAATTGTGGTTATCACCTCCTTGACAAATAAGAAAATTACAAGTTTCGTTGGTTACGATCAAAAGTTCACCAGACTATAAATGTTTTTTTACTGCCTGCTCTAAGTTTAGATTTGCGCCGTATTTTTATGCCAAAATTGTTCTTCGAACATTAGAAAGGACATAGTTTTGAGATTTAGGGGCATTTTGACATCTCATTTGTAAGGCATCACTCAGTTTGAAGTACTAAGTGTCTTGCACAGTAATGGTATCCTTTTCATATATTTGGTTATGCGTTAAATTTCAAATGCACCACATTCCATCGAATCTATGTACTCTAGTAACCATTAGAGTTTATCTGGTCTAGGAAATTTTTATCAAAATGTTTTGGTAAATCTCATCAGTAGTTATAGTTTCGGGTTAAGCGGACTTTGCATTGTCATTGAAGTTAAAGTCACTTCGCGTATAATACCACTCTGCGGATGTATTCGTGCGGTTTTGCAAAAATGTAGCCAAACACTGATGAATGGTAGAAAAAAATAGTATGTAAGTTCTTTAACACATACTCGTTTATCGAACTTGTTGCATAATATACAATTTCGGGCTATTCCACCCATGGACTCCTGATGACGATCGCACGGGAAAGGTTTTGCTTCGTTTTGCCATTTCCATTTACCAATAAAATACAAGCGTTCTTTAAACTGAACGGTATAAATAAAATTGAATGATGGTACGTCTAAATCGAAAAGTCCATCAAACGTATATGTATGGAGGAATTAAATTTGTTGAAAGTTTCCCGCTTTTTACAATTTTAAAACTATCTGAACGACACAATTTTAACGCTTTTTCGAATTGTGACACCGCGTATATAAAGTTATCCGCTGGCGTGGCAAAATACTGACCGAAATACCGAAATGGCGACTATAGTACCGAACAAAGGTTCCCGGTGTCAATATCGACTTCGTGGCTGATAAGAGGCGGTAAAACCGTATATCGGGTGTTTCAAAAAACATGCTGGCCGGGAATTCGCCATAAAAAAAAGAAAAGTGAAATGTTTTCTACAATACACTATATTTTTTGCCCTATTTTTTTTTCAAAAAAAAAAAATTTGAAATTCAGTGCCGCTACGAAACGTATCTTAACTAACATTGACAAAGAGATGCTCGCCCCCTGCTTTTGTTGGAATTTATGGTATTTACTTCGAATAAGCCACTAAAAGTCTTCAATATTTTGTATTTGTATCTTAAAATTCATGATAATATATATTTGTGTTTTAGTTGTTTTGATTCGCAATAAGCTTCTAAATAATATTAAATGAACCACGTCAACTTTGTTGCAGGCCTACGTGAGGTGTTTCGCAGAAGTTTTTTTTTTTTTTTAAATATATTTGGAAAGTAAGCCATTCCGTAAGTTTATATGAACTTTTTTTCTCTTTGATGGCGAATTTCTTGTCAACACCCGGCCTAGACCAGCCACCATACACACCAGACCCGAACGTTATTAAATTTATGGAATAGCGGCGGCGAACGCTTAGTTGCGGCTGTGCTGCACTAGGTGCGGGCGGGGAAAAACCTGAAAAGACCGCGGTTTTTACGTGGTCGTAGTCGTCGTCAAATGCCTTTTTAATTATTAAAACGTATATGTCGCGGGGGCCCTAATGACGTGTGCCCCCCGCCGACGACAAAACAACGTGGCGTTTGGGAGAGTTCGAAACCGCTTCCAGTATCGATTAGAGCGTCGAATGATGGGTTTGAGCAGCGGGGGTGGGGGGTCATATAATACGCGGCGCGTCGGGAAATTGTTCGAATCACGTAATACGGCCCCTTTGTTTTCTGTTTTCGTTTTATTATTCCGTCAGTGAGCTTTTAAAGTCAAAAGTTTTCAGCTGTTTTCAGTAGCAGAATTAAATTGCCTCTTGAAAGTTTTAATTTTAATTTTTTGAAAGTACTTTTTAGTTACCACTAAAAATTCCGATATCCTATCTGCTACGATATATAAATTTATTACGTTTACCTGCGTTTCAGATTTTTCATGTAAAAATTATTGAAAAACGATGCGCATGCGCAAGACAAAACACAGAACAATCAAACTGCATCAATTTTTTTGATGACGACACGCGAACAAGCATAAAATGCATAACCTATAACTTCTTATAACGCTTCTGCGAACACGCTCTATACGTCACACGCATGCGTCGGGAACTTTGTAACTATTCCTGACTGATCTGCGAACGGAGCTAATAAGTACCTGTACCTGCCGCCCATTGCCATCGGAATAATTGTGCTCTCATTACGAGGCGTAGACTTTGAGGAGTGTCAATTGTTCCCTGACCCCTGTCGTACGCCTCTGGCAGTAGCCGGATCCGTTAAATAGTAAAGTCACTCGTTTTAAGATAAATTTTAATATTTTGGGTTTTTATATTTCCAATTATTAATGAATCATCCTGTATATTTAACGTCATTTGTTTTACTTATTTTTTGTATGATGTTGGGGGGTATCTGAGGCGTCGACTGAGGGATAGTTTTTGTTTTCGACGCGCGTCGTGCCGGGCGTCCTTCTCTTATCTTTTCGAATATACCGGACGTCCCGACGAAAACGACAAATCGGGGACCCGTACGCGGCGGCCATTTCGGTCTCACGGTTGGCGCGGCTAATAGGAAGAGCGAGAGCGTGAAAAAAAAATTACGTGCCCATGGGAGTCGTCCCCGTCGGCGACGCTCGGGGCCCGCCTTGAACGGCGGACGACGACGACGTCACGCAGTTTTTATCTATCGCCTTTTATACCACGGCCCAGGTACTACGCCGTAGAGCGAGGCCTTGGAGAAGGCCTCTCCGCGGGTGCGCGCGCCAGCGAAATACGACAACACGCGAAAAAAAAAAAAAGAAACGAAAATCGCCCGCCTCCTCCTCGCCGACGACGACGTCCAAAGGTCCGCGCGTGAGCAACAATAATTGTGGGGCGCGAAAGTTTTTCCAGCGCGCTGCGGCCGCCATCTCACGAACCTGTTTATAAAATTGTGACACGTGCCTCTGCGGCAAGGCCAATGCTGCCACAATATAACCAATAAAATCCGAGTGACCTACATACGGGAAGGTCGCGGCGAGCCGCGTTTAACCGAAAAAGCACCGTTTTTTTCCCCGTTTCGGGGTTTTCCCCCCCGAACGCTTCGGGGTTGGCGGCGATACTTTCGAAAGTTAACCCGCAGCGACTGCTACGTGGCACACCCGCGACGTGAATCAGCGCCTCACGTCCTCGTGACGTTAGCTAATCGGCGCGGGGGGCACTACGTCGAATAACGACGGGGTAAATAGCAGGAGGAGAGGTTGTGCACGCGTAACCTACCTGCCACCTTCTTCGCCGGGATCAGCTTGCCCGTGCGCGATATGTAGGCCAGTCCGGCGCTGCGTAGGTGCTTCTGCAGCTTCCTCTTCGACTTGGGAATGCCCTGTTTATTATCGAAACTGTCGAGCACTGGCGCGGACGGTGTCGCCATGTTTACGGTACGCACGATTGTGGCGCGTCGGATGTCGGCGCTGTCGGTTTCGTGCGAAGTAGTCGCCGCCGCGGCGATTGTTTCGCGTTTAACGCGCCCGCGAGCCGACAGGTAGCGACACGGATCTCGCCTGCCCCCACCCGTCTCTGCGTCGCCGTCGTGCGTTGCCGGTTGCCGAGCGCGTTGGCGCGGAAACGCGCCGTTGCGATTTTATAATTCGACGAGACCTCTGTTTTTGGAACGGTCGCCTTGTTGACGCAGACGGTTTGTTTTCACGTTAGTTTGGGGATGTTTGCGGACCGCGCGATCGGTATTTACCTTTTACACATGAGCTCGAACCTGGTTTTAAATTACCGTGCCCCGTTTTTTAATACGAGAAAGCTATAAATCATTATTGAACTGTAGAGCTTGATAGTCTTAGGCTGTGTTTAATAGAGGGTTACAAAAAAAAATAAATATGAAATTTGTGTCTAAAATTACCTTTATTTTTTTATTTCCCTATTCGTCACTTTTTTATACAGTGTGTCCAAGATAAGGATGCACAGCATGGGGATCTCGGAAACTATAAGAGATACAGTGTCGGTTAAATTAGACAAAAGTTGCGCATTTTGATACCGAACAAGATCCCGTTTTACAAATTTGAAAATTCCAAGCCGTTCCGGAAATATCCGAGAAAAACCGAAATATTGCGATTTCGTTTTTATTATTTTTTAAAGCTATTTGAAAAGATATGAAAAAACGGAAAACACTTTTCCATTGGCACTTTTTAATCTCTCTAAATTGACGTTAACAAATTTTCATTACAGCGTTTCGATTCCATGGGACCACCATCAACTTTGATTTTTCTTATGGGACGGAAAAAAAGTACACACAGTATTAGGTTGTGCTTTTCATTGCGAATTCAACGATGTACGATACAATACGGTTACTTATGTTTTTATCCAGAAAAATGGCTTTTTAATACATTTCTAGTATTTTATTGTAGTAGGCCATGAGATCCGAACGATGAAAGGCAAAAGAAAATGGTTGACAAGTTCGAGTTAATGTGTTTATTTATTTACTAACTCTAACTGTTCATTTAACATAACAACTAAATCCAACAAGTTAATGAAAAACAAATTCTATAACAAATGTTCGAATAAATGACCTCCATTTTCTAGGCATAAGTACGCCCGTCTCACGGTAGACTCCAAAACACGACTTAACATTTCAGGAGTAATTTTATTAAACGCTGCTCGTACTGATTGACGTAATTGTTCCTCGTTCTCAAAAAATTCTTTGAATACCTCATTTTTTATGTAGCCCCATAAGAAAAAGTCCAAGGGAGTTAAGTCCAGGGACCTTGGAGGCCAAGGTGTTTCACTGTAAGTCCCAATGTATTTTCCATCAAACCGTTCAGTTAAATATTGGCGAATTTCTCTGGAGTTATGGGCTGGGGCACCATCTTGTTGGAACCAGCAGCCTTGCACAGCGCCTAGCGGTAAATCATCTAAGGCATCTTCTAAATCGTGCCTCAAGATGTCAAGGTACCGCTCGGAAGTTAAGAAATTATTATAGAAAATAGGGCCTATAATCTTGCTACCAAAAATCCCACACCAAATATTAAACCCAAAGCGAACTTGATGTCTGGATAGTCTATTAACACGTGGATTTTGTTGCGACCAATAGTGTGTATTGCGCCTGTTATAAATACCGTTATTGGTCACCATACTTTCATCAGACCAAATCACTTTATATGGAAAATTAAAACTCTCATCACACATCCTGGTATACCACTCACAAAAATGTCTACGTCGTTCGTCGTCACCCGGTTTTAATCCTTGACATATTCTGAATTTGTAAGGCTTAAATTCATTTTTCCTTAAAATAAACTGAGCTGTAGATTTAGCTACCCCATTCTGGTCTTCAATTTCTCTGGTAGAAGTTTGTGGATTTTCGATAACAGATTGTAGAACAATGTATTGGTTTTCTTCATTGGAAGGTTTTTGTCGGGATAATGCAGGCTTCTTAAATGATCCATATTCTTTCAGATTAAATAACAAACGCCGAAAAATACTCTTGTCAGGTTGTCTCCGCTCTGGGTATTTGTTAGAATACATACGCTCGGCTTCCACACAATTTCTTTGGCATCAGATGTAGCAAGACAGCATATCACATTTTTCTTCGTTTGTAAAATTACCTCCCTCCATTGTAGAACAAAATAAATTAGAAAAAGACAACAACAATAAAAATACAAAAACAATAACTAAAGGAATAAACTTATGATCGACTGATAACAAAGACAAATAACATTAATGTGTCATTGAAATTGACTGGATGTCATTTTGTCATGGCCTATTCCATTTAAATGCTGAAATGTATTAAAAATCCATTTTTCTGGATAAAAACATAAGTAACCATATTGTATCGTACATCGTTGAATTCGCAATGAAAAGCACAACCTAATACTGTGTGTACTTTTTTTCCGTCCCATAAGAAAAATCAAAGTTGATGGTGGTTCCATGGAATCGAAACGCTGTAATGAAAATTTGTTAACGTCAATTTGGAGAGATTAAAAAGTGCCAATGGAAAAGTGTTTTCCGTTTTTTCATATCTTTTCAAATAGCTTTAAAAAATAATAAAAACGAAATCGCAATATTTCGGTTTTTCTCGGATATTTCCGGAACGGCTTGGAATTTTCAAATTTGTAAAACGGGATCTTGTTCGGTATCAAAATGCGCAACTTTTGTCTAATTTAACCGACACTGTATCTGTTATAGTTTCCGAGATCCCCATGCTGTGCATCCTTATCTTGGACACACTGTATACATAGTGGTAAAACAAAGTTACATTTTTTTAAATGGAACACCCTACGTTTTATTGCATTTTTGGATAGTCCTTTCAAACACAAATTTGAAATTATTAGCGATCATCTTCAAAATTCGGGTTGTGTTTGAACCATCATTGTTAGGTTGCTTAATAATTTTTTTAACTTTTTTCCATCCATTATTTGCACGAAAATATGCTTCTTTTTACGCAATAATCGAATATAAAATATTTTCTTAAAATACGCTTTGGCTGGATATTTGGCTTTGGCTTAACTGGCACTTATTTTACAATAATACGTAATTTTTTTTACAGTCATAATAAAAAAGAAAAATTTTCATATTCTTAATAGTATAGTCTTTAAAATATATGTAGAAACCTGCCTGTTGAAAGACACAAACACAAAATTGATGATATTAATTTTGACCTTTTTGACATAATCATCGCAGTAGCTTTGAAAACAATGGTAGTTCTCTGTTGTCGTTATATTACTGATTTTTTGTTGTATAATGTATACTAACAAGAAAATGAAAGTAATGCATTTATTACGAAACTAGATGGTTCCAGGGAAAAAGGGAAAAAGCACTATTTAATCAAGATTTGATTATGTCAGCAATATTTCTTGATCCAAGCTTCAAGGTAGTTTTATGTACTTCACAAACTGACATAGCTAAGAACTACATATATGGAATGCTCTGAGAAATATAAATGAAGGTAACAATTTTGTTGAAAAGTTATCTCCAAAGTGAACTTCAACCAAAAAAAAAAATGAATAGAGCAATTTTTAAAACAAGAAGAAAATATATAGCAGATATTCGATGGTTGTTAGATTGTTATTATGAAGAACGGCGCGTAAAGCGAGATACGTGTGTGTTGGGCAGCAAAAGAAACGTCATCGAATAAATCGTATAATGTTGCAAAAAAAATTGATTTACCTATGACAGAAGTGAGTGTTGAACAAGCATTTTCAGCACTGAAATATGTTTTAAATTGTCAAGGGTCGAATTAAAAAGAAGATTTATTGGAAGGTGTCTTGCTTCGTAGATTAAATAGTTAAAAATAATTTTCATATAAATTAATAATTATCCTGCGATTTACTCCAGAATATATCTTTAGTTTTGGTTAACCAAAATTAATGTTTATTTTGGAATGCTGAAATATTTATGTATATTTTTACTATAAAATAAATATATTAAGAATTTTTTCTCTTATTTTTAATAATAATAATAACAACTTTATTTACAAATAACCGATAATTAACAAGACACAATTTTTACGTAAGTAATAGTTAATTGAAATAAAGCGAGATCAGAGATAAAAGAAACAAATATTGCTATTTCAAATATGAAGCAAAAAGAAAAATAAAAAAAAATCTGTCACTGGCATACCACTAAACTGCAAGTAACTAAATTTAATCGGAAAGAAACTAAAACCGACTCGTGCCTCTCCAATATAGAAACGGACCCAAACAATTCGTTCTAAATTTTATTCTTAATATTTATAAACAAAAATTTTAAGTTTTTAGTTAGTTAGTAGTTTTTGCCAGCTATGATTAAAATTATGACTTATTAGTGACTTATTTGTCAAATATATATATATATATATATATATATATATATATATATATATATATATATATATATATATATATATATATATATATATATATATATATAAAAACATGTTGGCATACTTTTATTAGAAAAATAGTAAAAAAAACGGTTTTAACCGTTATTTCATTTCGGTTCACGAAAACGATATTTTTTGGGTTGTAAACGAAAATCGAAATTTTTCGTTTTTATTCTGATCGGAAACGAACAAAATACTTTTCGTTTTTAGTCCCTGCTTGCCATGCTTTTCATTGCCCGCTGGTCAACATCAGTTTTCCTTTTGATATTCGGACCGCCGCCGCCATAATTTCGCGTGCGTCAGCGGGGGCGGGGAATCGTACAAACGCGCGGCGCCGCCGCCGCCGCTCCCGAAGGGGTAAATTTACAGGTGGCGGGGGTAAAAGGCGATTCGTCGTTCGGAAGAGCAAAAGGAAACTTGTGTCGGCGACCGGCGCGGCGACTTCAGACACGCGGCAACATCCGTGCTGTTTTCGTCCTTCTGTGTCGGTGGTGCGACGCGCGCAGCATACGATTCAGACGCGGCAGTCTTCTTTCGCGTTTCGAGACGGTGGGATAATTATTTTTCCTCTTCGTTTCGGACGACGACGGTCTAGAGTAGGCCGCGTTTGTCGACCCGGAGTCCGCTCGACCCGTATTTGGGTGTATTGGCGATACTCTTCCGGAAATGCCG